TATGTTAGAGAAGGGGTGGGGGAGGGGAAAGGGCCATGGGGGGCAGTTCAAGACCCCGGCAGTGAGGGAAGGACCATGGCATAGGCAGGGGCAGCGTCTGGGGTGAGTAGGGCCCTGGCTTTGCGCGCCTCTGCAGCTGCCGCTGCCCTCTGGAGCAGTTTGATGATGTGTGCATCCCACCGCAGGGCAGGCAGAGGCACGGCAGAGCCCGGCGGTAGGACACACATGGTGTTGCGCTGCTCCCAGGGCAGCTGCAGAGGCATGCAAAGTGCAGTATGCAGCAGCAGCTGCCTCCGCACCGCGCACAGACCAGGGGGGCACATGCCCCCTGGGCCTCTGCTGGGATGCACACAGTGGCAGGGGTCTGACCCCACCCCTGCACCCCTGGATGAGCCTCCCACGCTCTGATTGTCCCACCACCTGGCCCAGCCGGGGCCCCATTCACCCCTGCCCCTGCCTGTGCCCCCAAGGGATCAACTGGGAGGACCAGCAGACCCATCAAAGCTGACGGACATCATCCTCGACTCCAAGGGACTGCCGCTGACGACGCTCCATAAGACCCACCAAAGATGCAGCATAGACAGCTACGGTCACCCAACACTTTCCAACTAGAAAATTTGCTGAGCTTTGCCTTAATATCCATGCTGCTTCTGCTCTCGTTTAAAAAAAAAAAGTCCCCTACAGACAAATGAAGCAACTGACGGATCAACAAACTTCTGAGGCAAATCCTCCCCAAACCAAATCATGCTCAAATGTTAGGAATCAATGAAATGCTGTCACTGGAAAAGACAAATTGCAGCCCTCCTGAGATCACAGAGCCCTGGAGAGGAACGCTCGCTGCTCCGTTCTACATCCATGATGCCTGGTTAAGTAGAAGCATGACCGGAGGCCATGACACACGGTACTGACTTGGGACACATTTCTTCTAAATGACATTAAACAGACACCAAATGCCCCACAGTCTGCCAGATGATGCATGGGCATCTTATATTAACCCCATGACAGCAGATTAGTTCATTTCTAATTCTCTGTTTACACTAACAGAAACTGAGAACAAAAGAGCAGAGACACTGTTCAAGATCAAAACCTTGTGACGAACAAATATAAACTCCAGCATCTCTACCCCCAAGTTACTGCGTTACCAAATCTTGAAGGGGTGAGAACGTGTGGGATGAATTAAAGAAAAATGTTCTCTATAAATTGTTCTTTACATATCATTCTGCTGAGTAAGGAGACTTAGTAGTAAACCACTCACCAATGCACAGAAGCTGGCAAACCTCAGATTAATCTACCTTTCCCGTGCCCACTAGACAAGGGAGTTGCATACACTGGAGGTGTAGTCCATCCTACTGGGAACGTAGCATTTACATACTCCCAAGGGAACGTTATATCGGTAGCTTTTAGTGTAGCTTACCACAGGTGTAGATGACATTGAGATGCTTGCGCACACCTGGGTAACAAGGGTCGCCGAATTCATAGGTGCTGGCATACACACTGCAACTCCTTTTCCCATGGCATCGTTTGGTCATGAGCTGGAGAGCTGTAGCCGCCTGACACTCTGAAAGGGAAAAGGATATACATTACTGAGTACCCCCCTATCCACATCTGTATTTTCACAAGAATGCCCCTCTAAGGCAGGCTACAATCAACACATCGTAGCACTTGGACACTGACATGAATGTTTCAAGACCGCTAAGCCTCCATCAGGAAGAGGCAACAACTGGAGACACTGCGGATCAATAATAAATCACAGTACAAATAAGAGGCAACTGGATTATGAGGTTGTAGGGAAGAGATCAGGTAAAAATCAGGAACTCCCCTTCCTCATCAAAATAAATGAAGTCACAAATAAAGTGGGTTTGTTTTCTAGGGGTAAAAAGGGATTTGTGATAACAATTCACACTTCCTACAAAGTACTTTTCCGCTACAGACCTCTGAAAGCATTAACAAGGAAGGAACCATTACCCCATTTTACAGGCAAGGAAACAGAGGCATAGAAAACACAAGTGGCTCACAAAAGCAAGCTGTTGGCAGAGCCGGGAATACCCAAGTGACCTGCAACCTAGGCCAGTGGATGAGCCACTAAATCTACCCTATCAACTGGGAAAATGGCACATGGCCAGAATGGAGGTGAACAATAAAGCTTTAGGATCTTCCTGCTCGTCAGTGAGTGCCTTTCAGGTAAAATGAACAGCAAGATCCCCAGCAGACATCACAGAGTCTTTGCATCTCTTTTTTTTTGAGGAGAAGGAGGGAGAACACTGCTTGGGGGATTTCTTTTATTTGTTTTTTGATTAGCGGGTTGATTTCTGTTATTTTGTTGTTACAGTATTTGGTTGGGTGTTTTCAGGAGACATGCTGCTGGGGAGGGATTAGGTGATTTCCCAGTCATTAAAAACCTTTGCTGTATACTCTACTGTCTTCAGCCTAATATCGTGGACTATGTTAATCAAAACCAGACCAATATCACTAAGGGAAGTGTAAATTCCCTTGTTTGTCTTAGCAAGTTTTCAGATTTTTTCCCTCAAACTGTGATTTTTAAAGGCCAAAATAAATAAGATGTTTATTGCTGATCCTTTAAACAAAAAGATCCCTTAAGCACGCTTATTTGGTGTGGCTGAAAACATTTGGCCTGTTAGACCATCCTCCTCATCCAGATAAGTTTTGAATCTGCAAAAACATTAGAGGTAAATGGCCTATACCATGTACTATTTTACCAAAGTAGGTCTGCGACTGCTCTCAAGATCTAAGGTGAAAATGGGTTATTTGTCATTTTGGATTTTTTACAGATGACTTTTAAAACCAAAGAGCTCGAGTGTGATATTTTGTATTTAGCACACAAGTAGGACCAAGCATCAGAAAATACAAGACACCTCTCAAAATTTTAAGCGATTTTTAAAAGCAAGAACAGAGCGACAGAGGAGAAAGGAGCATAGCTATACTGTAGTCATTGCACAATACTCTCTTAATTGCTAATCAAGAGGCAGAAAAAGGGAATATGAACCCTAAGAGGGATTGAATGTTAGCACTAAAGCAATAAAAGAGTCATGACTGATGGGGGAGAGCCACGGAAAACAAAAGCCAGAGGGCAACATTTCTTTTTTCTGAAATCAAAGACGACATTTTATTCGCATGCTGTGTACGACAAAAGAACAGGGCTGCATGTCAGCATTTTCATACTGAATCCCACAAGTTTCCTCAGGGGAGTTTTGATCCAACAAGGGCCAGAGGTTCCAAGTGAAACATCTGGAAGGCAGCAATTCTGCTTTGCTCTCCCTTTGTCATGCATCCCATAAAACCAGTCAGTCTAACATAAGCCCTACGCAGGAGTTCACGGGGAACATCTAGTCTTTCTACATGGTATTGTTCCTAGGCAGGATGGACAACCTTCCATTGCCCCCCGACGCTGGCTTGGCCCCACCACCTCAGCGGGAGTATGAAGAATTAGCCAGGCAGTTCCCATTACTGTTACTGCGAGATACGTGACCAATCTCTTCCACGCAGTACTGAAGATGTCTCCCTTTGTAATGCATACTTGTAGGAATGAGATGTCACAAGCTACGATCTCTCGGCTCCACCTTTGTGTCCTGCCCATAGGGACAAGTGAGTGGCTCCAGACCAGTTCACAGACTGGACTGGGCTCAAAGATTAGCCCTGCATGCCAGATCCAGTGCATGGCACCAGCCCAGCACAAGTGCCTCAGGCAGAGGGCATCTCAGATCAGCTCTGCATGGGTCCTCCATGCAGTGAGCCAGTAGTGGCCTTAGGGGAGGGCAAACTGGCCAACTGCCTGGAGCCCCACACTTTAGGGGGCCCCAAAATTTTGCAACGACACTGAATATTTGTATTATCAATATTGTATCGAGATACTTTCACTGCAGTTTCATGGATAGAGCAAAGTGAAATTGAAATCAAAAATGTCTGACTTGCACACAACACAGGTCATCAACATTAAGCCTCTAAGGGGCCCCAAATGACTCTCTTGCCCAGGGCCCCAACAACCCTAGGGCCACCACTGAGGGGGCATATTGGACCAGCTTTGTGCAGCCTGCTCAGACAAGCCCCACACCCCACATGCAAAGCACATCCACCCCTAGCCCTGTGCATCGCATTCAGAGCATGGCGCCAGTCCAGTGTATACCACATGCAGCATATGGATCCACTCTAAGTCCCACAGGCAGCAATGCAGGCCAGTTGACAGGGCTCTGAGCTGGATCCAGCCCATGGATTGTATCTTTGACTCCCCTGATTTAAAGTCATCTGAGCCCTCATCCAGTTCTGAAAAACATACCCATTGTCATCAAAAGTGCCAGGATTTTGGACAGCAAGTCCAATTTTGTTCTCATTTGTACCTCCATGGGCCACATTCTAGTCCACCTATTAGGCATCTAAGTAGACTTAGACACCTAAATGTGATTCTGTTCAATGATGTTAAAAATCATTTTTACCAAACCACCACCAGCAGTGATAAGACCCATGAATGCATCTACTTTTGTAAGGTCATTGTTTTAAGATTGAGTCACAAAAAATGCAGCAAGGAGGAGGAGGACCTACCCATCTTTTGCATTTAGAGTTTCTCAGACAGTTGAGTAAGGTGGAACAGAACTGTATTTTGGCGCCTAATTCCACTTACGTGCCTAATAAATGGAATAGGCTCTCGCCCTATGAGTCTACAGCCATTCTTATGGATTCAGTGGAATCATTGCAGATTTACACCAGTGCAAACAAGAAGAGTAAATGACTAACTGACTGTATAAAGTTGGAGAACTATTTCCTTGAAAGAGTTTTCTACGATTACAGAATGGGTAAAATTGTTTTCCCTTGTTACTAGTTTAAGCAGAAATGACTCAGAGGCCCACAGAAACAACAGACGAAGAAGTTATCAGCTCTTGTACGGAAAGGCCAATACTGAAATTAAAGTTGCCTGAATTCTTAATCTGTCACCATGCCAATTAGCTGCTTTATACCTGAACCCCAAAACGTAAGAGAGGCACCAAGCCCTCCAAAGAGAAGCAGCTCTTTTGCTTACTTCAAAAGATTTGTGATAAGACAGTCATTCAGCTAACTGGCAAAGTGTCATAATCTAAGCATCTTATTCCCCTGTTAAACTAACATTGAAGATGTCAGTAGCACATCTCTGAGACAGCTGAGTGACAGATGAGGTTGCAGCTCTCATAAATCAGTGTCTACTTCATGACATTTGACATTAGAAATCACATCCTGGTGTCTTTAGACTTTTACACTTGGGCCCAAGACTAAAAAGGCACGTGCTAGCTTGTGCGCCCTGATGCATACAGAATAATTGGGAAGTCCCAGGGCTGACACTTCAAGTTAATTTCCCAAATGACATTCAACTCTAGAGTGGAAATATTAGAACCACTATTTCTGACCCTGATTCAATGAAATAATTTTTACCAAACCACCAGCAGCTCCTGGAGATCCCAAACTACCTAAGAATCCCATACTTACCAGGCAGGACTGTTCTGGACTCGTCCATGTGACAGAATGTGCGGCCATTACTGCTAATGTAATTGGTTTTATGCACCCTCAACATAATATTGTTAGTTTGTCTTAACAGAAAAATTATTGGGCATCCATGACAAGGAGATGTGTGAAGCTATTCCAATAAGCACAGATTTACATAAATAAAGGCCAGAAAGGTGAGTGTTGAGTAGGTCATTTCAAATCATTCAGATTCAAACAAACCAACCAAATGGATCACCAGCCCTGACTATACCAGCCCTGACTAACCGCAAGAGTGACAGTACCATGTTGGCCAGAACACTGGAGATGCAAACTGGGAGCCTCCTACACTAAGTGCTTTAATAAGCTAGGTCTAGCCATTCCTGAATACCTCCCTATGTAGACACGCTTATTCCAAAATAAGGGTGCTTTGCTCCCCTTCAGCATAATCCACTTGGTTTTTAATAGCTGTTTTCTTACAAATTACCGTGGTATCTTGATCTACATTAACTTTCAAGTGTCAACAAGCTGAAAGTGCAACGGTCAAATATTCAGGTCCTCTGCAAAGTGGCATATGCTTACTCTTTGTGAAGTGATACAAATTCAGAAGCCTCGCTCCCATCATATGAGTGCTCAGCCTGTGTGTGCAAAAATACATAAAATGGGTGCTGTCCCATCCAGAAAATATAATATTAGCTTCACAGTGAGAGAGATGTGGAAGCACTGTATTGGCTTTGCAGCAAGCTGACCATTATTATACAATGCTGGGCTGTTCTTATAGCACAAAGTCATCATTGCTGTGCACACGCATTCAAAATTCAGAATCCAGGTCACTGAGCTTTGCCAGCAGAACCCAAACCCCAGCTCCTTCAAGGCTTCTGAATCCCTCGTCTCAACGTGCTAATAGCAGGCTAGATGTGCAAATTGCTTTTTTCACTTCTGTAACGGGAGGAGAAAAGCCAATGTGTTTTCACAGAATTAGGTCAAATTGACATTTCCTGGGATTCTGCCTTTGGGAGGACAAGAACACGTGTGGTATTTTAGATGGAGCACGCAAACACAGGGGAATGCCTTTTTTCGCTTTGGTTCTGTGCA